AAATAAGATTAAAAGCCTATGGTCTATTTTAAAATTAATTTTGACATATTTTATTCAACTTTAAATATTTATATATATATTTATTTTTTGTACACCTTGGGAAAATGATGTGTAGGCTACAGCCTTTTAGCCTATATGGAATATACGCCACTGGAGTATACTAAAATCGTAAATATATAATCAACATATGTATAAGCTTTTCTTCTTTGCCACCCAATCACGTGTAAGTACGTTGTTTCATGCAATATTTTATTGACCAAATCACTGGTACCGGATGACATTCTAGCTGTGCAATCTAACCAGCTGACACACAGTTACATACATGATACTTGTACATGTAAATAATCAGTTTAATTCATATTCAGCTGTATCAATGAGAACAATATATGTTTAGATGGTGTAAAATGCATGGACCTCATCCCCTGAAAATCCAAACAATATAATATACGTATACAGACTGTTATCGGAAGAAATTTCTTTAAATGTTAAGCATAATGTGTACAATCAACAATCCTCGGCTAATTCCGCATCACTCCATTCCAACAGGAACAGGTACAAGCCACCCGAGGAGCTCCGAGTGACCCCCCCCCCCCCCCCCCCCCAGAATTAAAGAAAGAAAAAAAAGTCACGTGCACGAATTAAGGATGATTATAGGATACAATTTACAAAACATAGTTAATTTTTTTTCAAATCCAACTTTTTTATTCTTATAATCAGGTTGTTAAAATAAAAATTTCAAAATTTCTTTCATACCTGATTTAAAAAAAATATATTTTTAAAATCATACGCAGTAAACAGACACATATAGAAAGCATCTTCATTTGTGGGAAAAGGCTTTATAAAAGTACGTTATTTTACAGAGATAAAAAAAGTATTTATAAGACAATATCATTAAGAGGTCACATGCACAATTGTAAATTATCATTGATTTCACAATCGCAGTGTAAATTGAGATAGGGCTATATAGCGACTTTAACAAAGGGGTTGCACAGCTTCCAAGTATGAAATTATAATGATCCTCTGCAAATACATCTACAGTGTATGAGAAAGAAAAGGAAACATTAAGATTCTGTTTGAAAAACAAAATAATTCATTACCACTTAACTGATGATGTGGATTACAAAGCAATGATCCGGCACGTAATAAATTGGTCAAATATAGGAGCAAAGTTTTTTAAGAAGGGGGGGGGGGTGCATGTACCATTATATTTTCAAAGTGGCTATGGTCAAAATAAAAAAAAAGAAATTAATAGTAAATTAATACGTAAAAACGAAAGTGAAAAAGCACAATCGAAACAAAAAAATAAATAAATTAAAAAAAATAATCAAGTGAGAGAATAACGAAAAAGAAAATCTTCCCATTCCATAGTACCCCGGTAATATAAAACGAGCATAAGCACACCTAAAAAAAAATGTGTTTGTGTTGGGGGTGGAGGGGGTAATCAAACCATTTAATTAAACAATATTATGCAAGATATAAGCTCAAAATGTCTGAAACTACTGTATTTTCCTGAAATAGAATTAGAAAACTTCAAATCAGAAAATAAAACGTACATTAGTTTGACTTTAAATCATCTCTCTTAATTTTCGACTTGAAGTTAACATCAAGTTAACCTAGAGTCACAGTGTTTAGTTCTTAAATTATTTCAATGAATACAAGACGTCAAATTAGTTTTGAAAATGACCACAGTTGATTATCTTCACATTTTGTTACGTCAGTTTTCAGACCTCAGAGTGTAGCGGCAAAGGTGACGGTGTTGATGAGAAGATACAGAAGTCCGTAGTGCTTTGCCGCTTCATTCTTTATGACATTGCTACAGACAGTTTCCTAGCTGCTGCATTCACGTTTTTTTTTTCTAACTATGTATTGACAAAATGCTATATTGCAACTATGTTAGTATCATTAAACTTGAATCGATTACATAATCTTTGAAAACAATCTTTAGACATTGAGTCACCAATTCTCGGGCCTTTCTGGCCAACGGAGAAACAACCTGGAATGTGTAATATGTAACACCCCCCCCCCCCCCAAAAAAAAAACACACACACACACACACACACACACACACACACAAAGAAAAACCGGTAATAAATGCAGGAGACCACTTATCTGTAGAGTGTGGAGATCAGCCGGAAATGCCAATGACGCGATTTTCTTCAGAGCTTACTGAGGTAAACACGTACATGGATTTGTTCATGAACATTTTTCACTTCTAATGAATAAGTCCATTCATGAACTATCAAAAATTGAATTAAGTGATACACAATTTGGGAAAAATAACCAGTAAATCTATAAATTGACGACATTGTACAATATTTTTTTCGGACAGTTACAGGCGTGTCTATTTTTTAACATATGCATTACGCAAATAATTTTTTGTTTTGCTTTATCGTATGCAACTTTTTTATCGACAAACGCACCGGCGCGACGTCACGTCTTTGAAGCGCTATTGTTACGTAATTACGTTTATGTCACGAAGGTCCCTTTTCGCTTGACGCAACTCATTTAATAAGTCTACAAATTCAGTCAGGGGGATCCGACTCCCCCTACCCCCGAACTCTGCATTGTTTACTTTTTCCCTAAGCGGAGGACACAAATTCACTGAATTAGCTTGTTTAATATTAGTTATAAATATAAAACCTGATATGATTCTGTAGACAAGTGTTGTCCGGTGAAAAGATTACAGTGAAGAAAAATAATCACCGTTTATAACAAATTTTCATAACCCTTTAGTACGCTTTTCATATCAAAACATAGATATCTGTGTAAATAAACAGAGTGTAAGACTTCATGTTATGTGTTGCATCGCCTTGTGGCGCACAGATTATAACATCCAAGTTTTTAAACAAGTTGTGCCTCTATTCAGTGATAAAATAAAAGTTGGATAATAGCGAGTTCAGCGAGCGAGCTTAATAGACTAACGTGTAAGAACAGAGGACATTTGGAATTAAATGCGTACATAGGTCATGCACGTGAAACCTTCCCGGGATTCCTTTTGGTACACAATACTCTTTGCGCAAATAAATAAAAAAAAAAAATATGTAAAGCATAAAAGGCTTTCAGTTTGTAGAAAAATCGAAAAGACGCCCCCCCCCCCCCAAAAAAAAAAAAATAATAATAACTATGCAATGTTTTTCGACAAAAATAGTGCTAGGTCTATAGTTTAAACTAAATGCTCGGCTGTTTTCGTAAATTCTTGCGTGACATCACAGTCTAGATGTCTCACAACTTGATATTTGACTTGATGGATCAACGTTACATGTGTGTTTTTTAAGTTACGACTGCGTTCTCCTCTGGTTATACCGTAAAATGGATTTAATTATGAATTTCATCTATTTATTTAAATCTTAAATTTGCCTTTCTTCTCCATAACAAGTCAAGGAACCAAATTCGAACACACTGAATCTTCTGAAAATTTATTAGTAAGTAATGAACAGTATCATAAATATCGTTCAATAAAATAGGCCAACAGTGAGAGTGTGTTTAGCTATTACCATAACAGTTTATCTGTTTGTTTTCTTTTACCCGGGCCTCGATAAAAAGGGTAACCCACCCACCCCACTTTCACTTGAATACAAAGGGTTATCAAAAAGTTTGTGAAGTATATCTATGCTTATAAAATCACAATTCAGATCAGAGTGAAATGAGGAACACAGAATCATTCAAATCTTCTAATAAAATGCATATGTAATGAAATGTTTCGCCCCATGAATGTGACGTCACAATGCGAAAATGTCAATTTGTGGATAACTTGTGTCAGAAACTGGTTGACTCAGTCAAATTCTAACAACGGACGTCTTTTAAGTTAAACGTACATCTTGGAAATTCCTTTGCAGAAGCATGCAATAATTGTTTCTCCGCATCAGAAAAAAAAATGTAAATTACTGATTGGATAAGAGCGTATCACATGATGTCCTGATTTTTTCCGTAATACGTCGCTGTCAAGGAATAATGAGAATTGGGCATGCAATTCCGTACGAAGCGTTGTTATTGTAAATAAAACAAAATGAAAAATGAAAAAAAAAAGAAACGGTCTGCGTCGGTAGTTGAACTTCTTGTTATTATATCGTATGTTGATCGTTATTGGATTAAAACTTGATATTCGGAAAATTGGAAGTTAGATTTTTTATATATTCAAAAAGGTCTTCAGCGGGGAAAAAATAGTTACACAGCCAGTAAGTGACCTAAGACAGAGTCATACAGGGTGTGAAATGGAAATCCGTATTAGGATTATGCTTTGCCTCGCCCAATACGGATTTCCATTCCATACCTTGTATGACTCAATAGTAGTTCACTAACTGACGATGTAACTACGTGTAGGATACAGGCTGTGACAAGATTGGATTCGATCACTACTCTATGTTTCTATCGTGAATCCTCAATCCTGAATCCTATCCAAATTCATCTCATGTCAACTTGTGGAATAGCAGCACTTACATCAATATCATAAAATTGTGTAGATTTAAGTTCAAATCACTACCCAGAGGGAATAGTTGGCCGAAACTGGTGATCAATGTTGACAGCAAGAATATGAACGGAAAACGGTGTTCTTTGGAAAGTCACAGCTTGACAGCCATATAAGTATAGAAGCATCACCAGGAATTTTAGATACAATATGACCTTCGAAGTACTTCGAATAAAATGAGTGATGACAGTTAAAAAGAAATGTCTCAAAATATATTCAAAGAAAAAAAAAATCTTTTTTCAAGAGCAATCAATTTTATGTGGATAATTCTAAGGAAGTGTATATGCATGCTGAAGTTTTGCAAAATACCAAGATTGGGTACATGAAGTGCATAGACAATTTTGGTCTCACGCAAGGAAATAATTTCACTTTATATTACTATAAAGCTTGGATTAAATTATTTAATTTATTAGACTCTCAGCAGAAAAGTCATAAAAGAGAAAATAAAGATTAATGCTTAAACAAAAATTTGAGATCAGAAAAAATATGCCTTATGCAGCTTTTCAGAAAGAAAATCGACAGTAAACATACCTACCCCGAAATGCACGTGGGATTCACATGTTGACAAACAGCCTACACACCATCCAGGAAGTTGCATCATCCGCACCTGAAAAAAGAGTTCCTTTTAATTCAGTGGGATAATTCTGCTAAAGAAATGATATTCCTAGTACATGTGTCCAATTTTAATAATGTAGGACTAAAACAAATTGCCAAAAATGAAAAAAGAAAAAAAAATTCTATATATATGGAACTTCAATTGACTAAGTTCATTTTGATTGGCTATTTCCTTGCGTAAGACCTTTAAGACAATCAAAAGTTAATTAACTTAAATGAAATTTGCACAAAATGTCTCCGAGTTATTTATCTTTCATATACTAGTGCTCAAAATTTATCTTTGTCCTTAAGGGATGAAAAATAGGAGATAACTCTTCCTAACAGATTATTGAATTTTAGGCTAAATTTCTGTACAAATTCATCTTAAGCATATTAATTTCAAAACTTGAAAAAATTTAATGAGTAAATTATTGAGAAAAAAATTGAATGAATTGAAAGCTGAAATAAAGCAGTTTTTGGCTATATGCTAAAAAATAATTTCAACTCTAATTAATGAGCTCTAATTAGCTAAGAAACAGGAAGTTAACTGATTTTTAAGGAATTAATTAGCAAAAAAGTGAAAATTTTAATTCTAAAACAAAGTCAGAGACTGGAAAAAATGGTTTCAAAAGATACTTCAATAATGTACCTTGGAGCTTTGGTAACAGTGATCACTGATTATTGGCTGGTGATTAAGATAAGGGGTTCTTAAGCAGTGGGGGGGGGGGTGATGAGGCTTTTCCATCAGTCATCAAAGAATGGAGTTTCTCTTAGAAGACCAGGCAGCTCTAAAATAAATAAACAACAGAAAAGTTTACAATACTTAAAAATGTGCACCACATACAATAGCATATTCTTAGAAAAAGTCTACAAGTATACAGTTAAATAATTACCATGCCAAAGAAAGGGCCAAAATGGTTGCATCAACATCAATACAAAAAAGGAAGTATTCCTCACAACAAAGGCAAGAAGAAAATAGGGACCACCAGCCCAGTCCAATCTCTAGTTCCCATAAGAAGACTAAGTAAAGAAGAGTTTCAGGACATTGTACGGCCACAGAAAAATGGGGTGTTTACAGTTATAGATGCCAAGAGCCGAAGCAGCGAGATGAAGTTTTTACGACCCAGGCCAAGTGAGGTCCAGCCAGCGGACAACTACATGGAATCTGTGTCAGATGACCCAACTTCAAACTTATACAAGGTACTGCACCAAGAAAAGACTGCTAAATTGTGGAACAATGCATTCAAAGAACACTTACAGAAGTTTCCTGACTGTGATGGTCCACTGGACTGGAATCAGCATGGGGAGGAAAAACGAGGCCTGGCATGGATCCTTTCCATTTGATGTAAGAAGTGCCACTATACAAGTCACCGAGAAAAGCTTTACGAAGAGGTGAGAAAATCTGGAAGGGGACGAAAAGCTGCACAGCTGAATGTGGCCATGGCCGTCGGTCACCTGGGTACCAGTCTTACAACAGAGGGTATGCGTGGTATGCTTCTTGGTGCAAATATTGAACTAGCGTCAGCCGCCAACATGCAACAGACCTGCAACAAAGTGGGGAAAATGTATAACCGATGTAAATAAAAACAGTATGAAGAAAATTCGGCAAAATATTCAAGAACTTAATGAAAAATGTGGACTTCCGGATACCCCCATTAGAGCGGAAGGAGATGCTCGGTACAATAATGCCACGTTTAGTGCCATTGGGAAAACCCTATTCCAAGCTGCCACCCAAATGACGTATACCGTAAGTGAAAATGTAACTCAGAGGAAGAATGTGGTAGCAGTTTTCTGTGGGAATAAACTAAGTAATAAAGGCGCACACCTACGAAGCAAAGGAAAAGAGGTTACCTGCCCAGGACACGAAGACTGCACTGCAACCATTCCTCCGGAGACGAGAAGAGATGGACCGCTAATTGTGTTGGTGAGTTACAGAGTGTTGACCAGCCACTAGTTATATCCCATTTCACCAGTGATGGAGACAGTGCCGCTGCATCTGGTGCATCTGAAAAACAAGGACATGTGATTGAAAACCTTAAAGACTTGCGTCACTTCTTTGACTCTCAAAGAAAACAGACTGCTAAGGCTCCATTCAGCAGTCACATGTTTCCCGAAAGAACCAAGGCCATAAGAGAATCCTTGCAGCGAAGATTTGCCTTGGACCTGAAGCTTCGATGCTGGACAGAGTACGAGAATTGCTACAAACACTACTCCGGCGACTTACCTTTGATGAAGCGTGCTATGTCTACTGCGGTTGGTTCCCTCATAAACTACTACCAGGGACAGTGCGGGAATTTCTGTCAATTCTATTCCTTTTCCTGTCGTGGACTGAAAAGCAATAAGTGGAAATCTTCAGTGTTGCCTAGTGACTTTGAATTAAACATGACAGAAAAAGACAAATGATTCTTAAAAGACTGTATAAATTTGACTTTAGGACAATATAATCTTTATAGAATCAAATATCATACTTGTACACAAAAATCTGAATCTGTAAATAGGGCATATTTAAAATCAAATCCAAAATGCATTACAAGTAGTAGGAATTTTGAAAGTAGAATACATAAAGTTGTACACTCACTGAATAGGGTTCCTGGAAACTCAACACTGAAACTTTGTGAATCTGTAGGGGCACCTGTTGTAAAAGGAAGTAGAGTGGTCCATCATCTAAAACAACAACAAAATTACTTTAAAATGAAACAAAAACTGTTAAAATATAAATTTCAAAGAAAATACTACAGATCTAAAAGATATCAGCTGTACGATAAAAAATCTAAAGACACTTACAGTAAATCATTAACAGATCCAAAATTTAGAAGGAAGTTTTAAGACTGTGAAAGGGGGGGCATTGATGATATGTACATGCATTTCAAATGTATAAAATTTGTATTTAAAATATATTTTGTGAACTTGTCTTACATGTAATAATTGTTTTTATGATTCATTATGCATTGATTATTTTCAACTGTGTAAATGGGGAAAATGTCGACATTTGAATAATGTATTATTGTATGTGTACAATGTGACATTTTGTTATACGAGAGAGTCTGTACATGTAAAAATGTTATATTCTTTATTATTTAGCTCATTAAAATTATTTGAATTAAAAATCTTGTTTTTCTTACCTGTGTGATGAACACAACAAAGGTTTCAACGGTATTTGGTAGAAATATGGGTATACGGGTGTCAAAACTGTCCGTTGGTGACAAGACTGCATGCCGCATTGTTTATCCGCCATTATTGATCTTTTCAAGGGAGGCAACTCCTGAAATCAGAGAAATTTTAGTGAAAATGAGAGTTACCTGTTTCTCTTTAGGTCTCACACAAGGAAATAATTTCACTTTATATTACTATAAAGCTTGAATTAAATTATTTAATTTATTAGACTCTCAGCAGAAAATTCATGAAGGAGAAAATAAAGATTAATGCTTAAACAAAAATTTGAGATCAGAAAAAAATATGTCTTATGCGGCTTTTAAGAAAGAAAATGGACAGTAAACATACCTACCCCGAAATGCACTAACGTCTTGGGATTCACATGTTGACAATTAGCCTACACACCATCCAGGAAGTTGCATCATGCGCACCTGAAAAAATAAGTTCCTTTCAATTCAGTGGGATAATTCTGCTAAAGAAATTATATTCCTAGGACATGAGTCCAATTTTAATAATGTAGGCATAAAACAAATGCTAAAAATGAAAAAAAGAAAAAAAAAATTCTATATATATGGAACTTCAATTGACTAAATTCATTTTGATTGGCTATTTCTTTGAGTAGGACCTTAAACAGGAATCATTTATAGGTAGTGTACATTCAATTTTGTTTAAGCAATTACACCTTGGAATAGGACGGGACAATCAAAAGTAAAAAGTGAAAAAGGTTAAGTATCAGTCACATTATCCAGCGGTGGGGTATACGATGAGAAACCGATGCGTGTTTTGATGAAATTGGCGTGGTTGCCGACCGGGCACCACTATTGATCGGACGGTGACTGAGGCCATTTTGGGAATCGGTGGGGTCATCGGTAGGAAATAATTCGTAATTAAAATTCACCAATATTTCCAACGATGCCTCACATCGTTTCTCATCGGCAACGCATCGCTAACACATCTTTCAAGGATCAGCCGATATATGGCCGAGCATTGTCAAGTGTCCGTTGAATCTGAGGTCATCGGGGGGTTGAGTGGAGTTCAACAGATAACGGCCGATCATCGGTCGATGTTTGACCAAACAATGGCCCTATGTACGAATGATGTTCACCAATGTATGAGCGATGTAATATACATTGTCCTGGAACATCATTTTATGATGAGCAATGCATCGCTGGACCTTTGTATGTCCGGCCGGCAACCACGTCAATTTTATCATAAAACGCATTGGTTGTCCATTGTATACCCATCGCTGGATAATGTGACTGATACTTTAAGGACTACTTGTTGACCGATGTTGGAACATCGTTAACACCACGGATTACCACCGATTACCACCAGTCTACGGCTATCAGCCGGGAAATGTGACCTAGGCATTAAGATAAGAATACGCAAGGCATTTTAAAATCTTTTTCGCAGGACCCAGCGTCACTGAAACATTCTAAAAGACATTTATTCTGTTCGCTCCGAAAGTTCAGCGTGTCAACACTGTTTCTTCACCGTTCGCCGATCTCCGTCATGTTTTTGATTTCAGCATTTAAGTATAAGTCACATTATCCAACGATGGGGAATACGATGAGAAACCGATGCGTTTTTTGATGAAAATGCCGTGGTTGCCGGCCGGGCACCACTAGTGATCAGAGTGACTGAGTCTTTTTTGCGAATCGGTGGGGACATTGTTAGGAAATAATTCGTAGTTAAAATTCAGCGATGTCTCCAACGATGCCTCACATCGCTCCTCATCGGCAACCCATCTTTAACAAATCTTTCAAGGATCGGCCGATGTATGGCCGCGGATCGTCCAATATCCGTTGAATCTGAGGTCAACGGGGAGTTTAGTGGTGGACAACAGACATCGGCCGATCATCAATCGATATTCCACCAAACACTAGCCCGTAGTCGACTGATGTACGAACGATGTTCACCAATGTATGAGCGATGTAATATACATTGGCCGATTATCCTGGAACATCGTTTTATGATTAGCAATGCATCGCTGGGCCTTTGTATGTCCGGCCGGCAACCTCACCATTTTTCTCATAAAATGAGAAAAAATCATATGGTTGCCTATCGTATGCACATCGCTGGATAATGTGACTGATAATTTTAGGACTACCAGGCCGATGTGGACCGATGTTGGGGCCTCGTTAACACCACGGATTACTACCGATTACCACCGGTCTACGGCTACCGGCCAGGAAATGTGACCTAGGCATTACGTAAGGGTTAATGTACGAGTAGTGCTCCATTCCTTAAAAGTAATGGAGCCGAGGCCCCGAAGGGGCCGAGGCCCATTGCTTTTAAGGAATGGAGTGCTACGAGTATATTGACACGCTTAAAATCCACCTTTACTGGGCCCCTTGTTTTTTTATGAATGGAGACAGTGGTCATTCAAAGAATGAAGTGAAGAATGGTGTGACCTATTGTTTAAGTAATGGAGAGGACATTTGCACCAACTCAACCATGAAAAACAGGAAGAGTTGGGTGACCTATTGTTAAGTAATGGAGGGGTCATTTAAAACAAATCAACTATAAAAGTCTATACCTTACTGATTCTTTATCATATCAATATGGAAGCATCTAGCAGTGATGATGAAATTTTCTTGACTCAGCGACATTACAAGGTTGATACTACAAACAGTGACTATGACACTGATAATTTAGTATCTGATATGCTAGGATTAGAAGAAGTTCGGCCCAATCTCAAAAAAACTGTTCAAAATGAGCCATATGTGCTTCAATGCTCCGATATAAGCGATGCAGATGACGATTTACTTGTTCTGACGGCAGAAAAGGTGGAAAAAGAATGCCGCTTTTGCGATCTAAAAACGGACAAGGAAATTTCAGAACTACAAACAAAACAGTTAAGTTTTCAAGTTTTACAGATGTATATTTCTATTTTAATAGCATATTTTATAAAACAGAATAATTTACTATAAGGATCGAAGATGAAAACAAAATGCAGTATCAAATTTAGATGATTATCTTCTTACTCAAAATTATTTCATTTCAGGTTTGCACCCGCAACTAGATCAAAAATACGGTGGGCCGTCAGCACATTCAGAGAGTGGCAAAGATTTCGGAATGAAATGTCGAAAAGTCGATCGGATATTAGTCCTATTCTTGTTGATATTGATAAAATGACAATGAATGAGTTAAATTACACAGGTCACGTTTAATATGTGAAGCCAAAAAGGTAGACGGATCAGAATATCCCCCAGAAACATTGTATAGTTTTGTGATC